TGTAGCCCAGGAATGGTAGCAAAATTTTGTCTACAGAGATGCATGCTTGGAACCCCAGGATAGCCCATGTACACCAATTGTGACCCCAGTGTGCACCATTTGTGGGGTCACACAAAGAATAGCTCCCCACTTGGGCAGTACATCTTCTCTGAAATGTAAATTTATTGATAATCCATTGAATGGAGAGGTGATCATGCATTGATTTTCAACTTGTCCGAGGTGTCCAAAGTCCCAAGTGATTTTTTTAAAAGAAGCCCTAGAAATATATCCTGAAGTACTTGATGACATGTATTCGCGCATTCATAAGGTACTCGCGGGCAACCATTTAAAAAAAACTCCAAACTTCGAATAACCTGAACAATCAAAAAATCGATAGCCTTAAAATTTAGTTGCAGAAATGCAAGAGAAAAGTGTTACTAAGCAACGGTGTTGTCGAGAAGGAAACGAAATCATCGACCAAAGCATCGCTTCCACTGCGCACATGGGAAACCCAGAATACAAACTTGGCATAGAGTAGAAATACACGTGAAATATCTGCGGTTGAATGAAATTACTGTACTGCACTGAACTGCACTCGATCCTGCGTTCGGGGCTCTCAATTGCTAGATGTTGCAGTGCGAAGTGGTCCTTAAAAGGCGAGGAGCAGCAGTTTGAATGCGTGCGTTGACGTCAGCAACGAGACTCGCGCGTGTTTTTCTTATTGATACAGCGTGGAGGCATGTGCAGGTCTCTGGGAAAGTGGTTAAGCCCTCGGAATAAATTCCGTTTTTTTCTCTTGCTGTCGCATTCATTCCTTTCCGCATATACTCGCACATTTACTGTACGTCCGTTTTATTTCGATTGAGTTTGGTGCCAGCACAATGGTCTTCCGGTTTAAAACTTTTCGAAGCCACTTTAACGAGTTCAACTCAACGCCGATCACACTAGAAGAAAATTCCGCGGATCTTCTCCGGCAGCTTTCAGGAGGAAAGAGCTGATCACTCAATTGAAAATTCGTTGCTTTTTGAAAAATTGATGCAAAAGCTTAATTGTTTGCAGGTCAGCATTCACAAGGTTAAAAAAATTTGTGTTATCCACTCATCAATTACACGCCATTCTTTCTTTCAGATGACAAAATAAAAATACAGTAAAATCAAATAAAAATTACAACACAAGCCAATTACTGAGCATAAATTAAAACCCAAGGGTTTCAGCCTGCTTTTTCCATATAATTTTTTTTTTATTAAACAATTCAGAGGTAATCTTCGAGGAGAAATCATATAAGCTAACAGTTTTTCCTGAACCTCTAAGATTTGGGAGAGGACCTTTTTATATCAAGTTGTGAGAATCCAAGTCTTAAAAAGTCTGTTTCTGTAGAAGAAACGAAGTTTTTTTGGGGAATCCCTTTTTATTTCCTCTTTGATTGTTCTCCATGCGTAACATTTTTCAACTGAAAGCAAGCAACACTTCCACGCAAAAATTGCTATTGAAATAAAATTATCGGATACTAAGTCAGAATTTTAAGGAAGCGTTGAGTAAAAACATTTACCAGGAGAAAAATGCAGAGCAATAAGTATAAAAGCTTTTGAGCTACAAGGACGCACAATTCTCTTACAAATATCAGAATTGGGCATTACGAGCAGATCACTTACGTATGCTGATGGTTAGTATAAGCATACATAAATTTTCAGCATAACAGGCGAAAGGAAAAAAAAATGTTAGATCACCCTCTGAGGAAGTTGGTCATAGAATTTTAGTGTTTCCGCGTTCCAGACTTTCAATTTTTCAAAAGGACGCTGAGATTTCGATACAAACCATGATTATCGAAAAACTATTCTCCGCAACAATGTTTTCGTGGAAACCGCTGATAATGACTGCAGCAATATTTCAAGCCAAGGACCCACAGTAATGAGATTTATTCCGTCTTTCACTCAAACTAAAGATTTGCGGCTCGCCTGACTAGGATACAATCTTTTCGCAGAATTGTCCCAGGATCCAGTGTCTGGGATCACGAAATCTTTGGAGCTCGTCGGTTTGATCGATTCCAGGAAACGCATTCGTTCTATCAACTCTCGTTTCTCCTGTGACATGAAGTCCGGCTCTGCACTCAACATCTTGTTGATGAGTTCCCGAAAAGACGCATGAGGAAATCGGTTTTTCATGGCTGAGGAATTAAAGTCATATTGAAGATAAATTCAAGAAAAACATACAGTGAGACCCCCACATGCGGACGCCTCGACATGGGGACGATTCGACCTGGGGACATTTATTTTTTTAGGAAAAAAATCATAAAAAAGACCCAACATGAGGACATTGACTCGACCTGGGGACATTGCAGGATAAAATTCCAAAATGAATTTTAGGAAAATCGATTTTTATAAAGCTTAATTGCAAGAAACAGATGTTTCCATCCTAAGATCTATGCAAGAAAGATTCTTGGCACTTTTCCCATCCATAAAGCTAATTTGAAAAATGCCCTATAGCACAAAGGGACTTCCTTCCAGCTCTCTTTGTGACATGGATGTTATTTTTCCAGATGCCAACTTTTCAATTTATTGTACAGAGGTACACTATTCAATGTTCCAAATGTTCTTAATGGTTTGAAAAGATATTCATTGAATTAAATTCAAGTGGGAAAAATTTTTTTCATGAAATTCTGAAGAATGTTTCTTCCATAAAACACCAATTAAAAATTATACAATGTAAGTCTATGGAAAACAAGATTTGACTTGGGGACAATCCGACATAGGGACACTCTTGATGCACCAATTATGTCCGCATCTGGGGGTCTCACTGTCTACTGTATTCAATAAGAGAGAGACACAGGGTATCTTTGTTCGTTGGTTCGACGCCTCGATAAATCGTCGATGAATCCAATTCTGATACACCACCGTCACTCGTCAATGAAGGAACTCGCAGGTTCTGCTAACAGCTCAAAATTATTTCATTCAGCATCATCCAGTTGTAGCTCAATTGGACAACTTGCTCTGTTTCTTGTAACTCGGGAGTTGTTGCCTGTACACTCTTCAACAGCAATGACAAAGCATGTTCTGCTAACAGCTCAAAATTATTTCATTCAGCATCATCCAGTTGTAGCTCAATTGGACAACTTGCTCTGTTTCTTGTAACTCGGGAGTTGTTGCCTGTACACTCTTCAACAGCAATGACAAAAATTCCCTTTAAAAAATGCAGACCATCCTTCAACACAAGAGAGGCAATAAAACAAAGGTAATGGTTCGACTCGAGCAACAGAAGCGCATGTGGAAAAGCCTCACAAGCACGCAATGCAACGCGGTGCTTCTTTTTTTGTTTTCCTCCAGACCCCTGCAAAAGGGTGGAGAGGCGAAACAGGGGAAAAATATATATCCAAAAGGACCATCACATTGTCGAATCTCTGAATCATCCTCCTGTCCCCTCCATTGACTGCTGATGAACAAACCAACAAAATAGCTCTCAAAATCAAAATAAAAAAACCAAAAACAAACCAACAAACACACTTGCAAGACAAAAGCCAAGATCCCTGGCTCTGCTGCTGGAATGACCACTGGAAAAAATCCAACCGAACAAATGAACAAGCCGATGCATGAATAGGAACAATAATAATAATAATAATCATCTCATCATCATCATCATAATGGCACATTCCGACTTGGTGCAAAGGATTCCTACCCCTGTCTTCATTTCGCGGGATTGCACAATATCTGCCACAGACTCAAGGGGGGGAGGAGGAGGAAAAGAAGAAGAAAAGTTAACCAAGTCCTTCTCCAAGGGACTTTTATCCGAGCCTAGGACTGAGGCAGAACAAAACAGGCGAGCTCATTCAAACGCGGTATGCATACATCCGGACAGTGACACCTTCCCTGGATTCATGAGATCAAGCCTTGTGAACCAAATTTCAAGCTCACGAAATACCTGCGCTTCCACCCACCTCATTAAGATCGATCAGCGGGAAGGTAAGGTAATAATAGACCACTCCTCCCTCTCTCCAACTCCCTCACATAAGAGATACGGTCACACACGCATATGTATTCTATCACAGAAGGAGAGCTGAAAAAAAAGATGGATGTACAGCATATTACTGCGTAGAAATGAGAGAGAGAGGTTCAACAAGCAGTAGAAATGAGAGATCAACATGGAGAGGGGGAGATATACACATTCACAGAGAGAGAGAAAGAGAGAGACTGATTCGCAAAAGAAGCAAAGACGCGAGAATAACCGAGAGCTGATGGCTCTTTACCCTTTGTTTAATTACGGGTCACCCTGCTCGTTATTGTTTTTAGTGTTGGAAGCTGCCCCCAGTCTTTCGTTCTTTCTAAAAAGACTTACTCAGTCGAGCCAAATGCGTTCGTCAAAGCGGGTGAAAATCAATTTCCTACCGCTTATTGTGCTTTTCAAGATTCGTCCAATGCGCGGGCAGTCGATCCTCAAAAACAAAAAGTAAAAAAATAAAATTGAAGGAATAAGAGAACAAGTGAGGAAAACTAAAGAGGAGGGAACCTCATTCAGCACGCGCATGCTGGAGCATATGGAGCGAGTGTTGTGGAGTGCAACAAAGGAAAGAGGACCATGCTCCATGATGTTCACAACAGCACAGCACAGGACAGTATTGCATTTTAGAATACAGTACAGTATTAATAAGAGAACGCGATTGGTGCGGTGGCACAACAGCGAATGCAAGAAACACATCACACCCGAACACAATGTGGCGTGATCTTCTTTGAGCCCGTGTGTCACGATCCCTTTCTTCCTGAGCATTGGTTCTGCTGGTTGCCGACTTGGTTCCTGTCTATATGCAAGCGGGTGGACATGCATTGATCCATCTGACAAAGGCCGGAATAAGACCCCCAGCAAGAGGAGTGACGAGTGTTGGGTGTGCAGCGGAGGACAAGAAGGATGCGGCGGCGGCAGCAGTGGGGATTTCATCATTACGGTTCACGACATACGGGTCAGACGGCGCAACCCCCTGCGCAGACTGATGAGACGAACGACGGCAGCGCCAAGTACAGTAGACTACAGTACTACTACGTGTTGACGCTGACGATGGACGGGCCCGTGTCTTCCACTGGCTTGGTGAGCGAATGAGGTTTGGCTTTTGGCTGGCACAGGCCAGTCAGCTGGTTCACGGACAGCGGGTTGTTGATGTCGTGCGGGTTGGTTCCCACTCGCCCTCGCTGCTGGACCGGCATACCAGGCAGTGAGAGAAGTGGCGTAGGGCTGAAAGCACACAGACTAGCATTGTCAGTCGCACTTGACACTCTTGATAACGCACAACATGAGATGATGACGTGACATGTCGTACGAGACGTCGAGTGACGGTTCCTTGTTTATCAGGAACGGTCGTGCCATATGTCACGACATGAAATGAATACTTTACTTTACTTGACTGCATTGATGAAAACTTGATCCAATTCTGATGACCTGGGCTGCGTTTGCGCCACGCAAAGCACAATTTCCATGGAGAATTCCATCAAAGTTAAAATAAATGAATGAAATTCCCCATAACCATGCATTCCAGCAACATGTACAAACGTTCATCACGCACAAGAAAATGACCAAGTAAAACTTTCAATTTAACCTTTTAACCCAAACAAGCCTTGAAGATTGAATTAGTCCAGGGACCAGAAAACTTGATATACTCTACTACTTGTACGGCTGTATACACTTAGCCAGTGACTTTTTTTGTTGCTTTTCTTTCCTTTTGGAGCAGAAGTTCTCAAGTACGTCCTCGCGCTTGTAAGATATATGGGAGGGGGGGGGTTGATAACATGATCGACATATGATGTGCTATAACTTCTTTCACATTATGACATGTCATGTGACATGACCCAAGAATACGTAGTGCACAAAACGCCGTTCTGTGCAGTACTGTACAGTACATTACTTTCCGTGCTATACAGGACAGATGAACCAACCAACCTGGAGAGTGCCGAGTTTGGCGTCATGGGTGACATGAGCGAGAGGCTCGGCGAAGGAAGCATCATAGGTGAGGTGAGGGGTAAGCTCTGGGGGGAACTCATGCTCATGGCCGGACTGAGGATGGACCGGTGGCCCTTGAGGTCTGACATTGACCCGGAACCGGATGCCGACATGGAGCCGGAAATGGAGTTGTCCGTCTTGTTGGAGTCGGGCGTGTTGGCTTCATCCAGACTCGAAGCCACGCTGTTGGGATTCTCCATCCCGTTTTTGCTGCCCTCCATATACCGGAAGCACTTCTTCTTTCTCCTGCCGTCACCGACAATAATCGACAAACAAATGAATGAATGAACATGAACAAACAAACAAATGAACAAACGAATCAGTCAATATCATGACATTGAATGATTAAAATGAATGGATTAGAACAGGGCTTTTCAACCTGTGGTACAACGTACCCTTAGTGGTACGCGAGTGCTTGCCAGGGGGTAAGCGCCTACTGTCCCCAAAAATATAAAAAATGGGAACTCACCCAGGAACAACTCTGCAAAGGCAACAGCGAATTTAATTTTGCATTTTGATAGTTTAATTTCATTTTTATAGAATTTTTTTTAGGAAAAGGTGGGGCCTAGATTCTCTTTTGTCCATCATTAATTATATTGTACTTTTGTATTCATCTATTACCTTTTGTCCTTTAGAATATGGTGCTTGCCTTCTGCTCAATGGATGTACAGTTAAAAAGTTTGCAATTCTTTATGTAAAAAAANGGGAACTCACCCAGGAACAACTCTGCAAAGGCAACAGCGAATTTAATTTTGCATTTTGATAGTTTAATTTCATTTTTATAGAATTTTTTTTAGGAAAAGGTGGGGCCTAGATTCTCTTTTGTCCATCATTAATTATATTATACTTTTGTATTCATCTATTACCTTTTGTCCTTTAGAATATGGTGCTTGCCTTCTGCTCAATGGATGTACAGTTAAAAAGTTTGCAATTCTTTATGTAAAAAAAATCTCTTGAATTAAAAAAAAAGGGCAGGCAAGTATCCTCGGCATGATATTTCAGGAAATGATTCAAAAATTTATCACACAGTGAAAAATTTGTGATTCAAATGCTGAATTTGTCCACCTTGCCGTGCAACTGTCACTCTGTTTTTCCTTTCAAATACAAGATTTTTTTCAAAATAAAGTTTCATTTTTTTAAATCGTACTGTTCACCTATTGAGCAGAAGACCAGCACTATTTTGCAAAAGTAAAAGATGAATCCAAGAACATAATGCAATCAATGTTGGATGACAGAGAATCTAGGCAAAAAATTAAAAATTTTCCTGGACTACAATTTTGAAAAATTAAATGAAAATATTGAAGGTGGAAAAATTGCAGGACTTGTTGCCTTTTGTGAGTTTGCAATTTTCAAGTTATAAAAAAATGGCTTGGATGTTGTTGAGTGCTTGGGTTATTCCTAATACTGTTTTTGTAAATTGGTAAAAATTGAAAAATATGTGCTTCAAGCTTTCCATGCAGCTTTCAAAAGACAAAAGCCTGTTGATCACATGAAAACAGAAACAAATTAAATTGTGCTTCTCAATCAGGTTAACTCTTTGTTGTTGTGCAATAGGGTTTTACAATCAATACAAAGTCTTAATTCATATTGAAAACCTTTAAGAGGATAACCACACAAGTTTGCCAACAATATATTTATTTAAGGTTTGAAACTCTTTTACCAGGTGGATCCTAAGACCGAATACTTTAAGTATTCAAGACAATTTTATGACAAATAAACACACGCAAGTTTGACTTACAAGTATTTATTCAGCTCCAATATATACGCGTATACAGCTCTCTCTGAGGGTATCTTTACCACTGCCTTCTACTGGGCCTTGCATGGCCTTTTATTAACTCCAGAGAAACCAGACAGTACAGGGTCATCGCTCGGCAATGACCATCCGACCAGACAAAGAAAGGAGACACACACGTATTCCGCAACACAGTATTTGTTAGATTTATGGGGCGGTCAACCGCCTGAGGCTAATTACCATTGGGACAGGTAACGAGGGAAACTCAGTTGCGCACGCATGCGCGGCCCGTCCACTTTAATGAGTGGGGCAAGGGGCGAAGGAAAGTTAGAGCACGGTTTTGACCAGCTGACAACAATCACCCGGCACAAAGAAGAAAAAGCTTGCTTTTTCTTATTTAAACTTTGCTGCTGTATGGCAATGTTTTGCTCTAGTTAAATGCAGCAATCCCCAAAGTGAGAAGTGCAACAAAGTTATTCCTTCGCATTTGCAGGTACGTGCGAATTTGCATGTACAGATTTTCAAGTGAGTTTTGTTCCATCGTTCCCATTCAGTTTCCAACTTTTGCGGAGAAACGTAGTGTATACTTTTCACAGCGATTTGAGAAAAATTTTGGAACTTTTTAATTTAAGAAAAAAAAAATGTTGACAAGCAAATTTTTCATTTTAGCAGCTTGTATTATTTTTAATAAATATAACTCAAACGCTCAAAGTGAAAATTGTGCATTAATAGGCGAAAACTGGACTTGCTATGATTTATGCAAGGAAGGGGATCATTAAATTAACTGGTCCGGAACTTAATATAAACTGCGCAGCATTTAACCAAATAAAGGTAAGAATTTGAACTTTCGCGAACATTCAATCTTCGAGAAAATTGCACTATTTATTTTTGTAGGTGGTTATTCTTGATGGTGATGTGGATTGTGTTGGAGATGCGGAGTCTTCTTCCATCGTTCTTGAAGGAGGACGATGTAGATTGGCTGGACAGGTGTCATCGGTGATCAGGACAACAGCGGTTCCAGTCTCCAGCAGTGTTCCCATTTTTGAGGGAATCTCCAGTGAAAGTCCAGTCTTCCAAGTCACGGAAAGGATCCTTGATGAGGTGTCTTTTCCAAAGGCATCCATTGTTGGAGTAGGGGATCTTCATAACGGATCCGACATTTCGCACAATCACACAACATTTGGATCTCAAGATCACGTGTACAATCAAGTGGTTGCAGGGGTTTCAAGTTTTATCGCAATAATGCTGTTGGTGGTTGGTATTTTTGTTGGCATCGCGAGCGGACTGATCATTTATATGGTCAGAGAATATGCCATCAACAGAAGACATCGTCGCGATTATACCGAGGTAAGTAAAAACATAAAACGGAAAATAAACAAAAATTCCTAATTAGTTTATTTTATCAACAGGTTCTGATTGGAGAGCAGCGGACTTCGACTCCGGAAGTAGTGGAACTCCAGAGTGTGACTAGTGAAACGCGGAATTCGACTTTAAATACTACAAGTGATCGTAATGATTCGGGAATGGAAAGCATCGATCTTCGCGCTTTGTCGCCGATTTCGCGTCAAGAACAAAAGCATTATGGTTCCGCCTCGTCGGTATTGAGTAACTATGGCGTGGTAGTAAAAAATAAAGTAAAAATAACCAAAAATTGCGCGGAAATGCGAAAAAGCGTTCACAGTTTAAAAAACGGACAAGAAGAAAAAATAAATTTCTCTCGCGATGTTTCCATGTAAGAGGGAGGAAATCGCGTATTTGAAGTCGAAGGGAGCCTCTGGCAATTTTGCCCTGTATCTCGGAATCGATGTCAAGCGCGTAGTTATTTGGCTGCCCCAAAAATCACGCGAATTTGATGAAAAAGAGAATTGAATAAAAATGTTTACAAGAATTTGAAATTTGTTCACTTATTTATTTTTGGGTTATAATTAACGGATATAAGGTTGATCTTCATATACACAAACATATACTTATTGCATTTTTTTCTTAATTATAAGCACCTGAATATACAAAAGACTCATACATTCTATTCACATCATATATATATACATATAATCAATATATACTTAATATATATATCCTTGTATAAACAATCAATTATCTTCAATTAAATAATTATATTCTGTTACTTCGGGTAAAATAAGCGGAATCTGGGGTTATTTTGCCTCACTGCTATTTTTTAGGGAGCCAAGGAGACAGCAAGGTTTTATTGCTGCATCTGCGCAAAGCGTCGATTCCCTGACGCGTTTTACGACAGGCGGACCCCTCTTCTCGCCTTGAAGGTTGAACGCTATTCAATAGAATGCGGACCCCTAGGCAATTTTAGCAGTTTCTCGCTCTAGTTTAAATCTTTGGTTCAAAACATAGTAATTTCGTCCCAGCACGATAGTCTACTTGGTAAGGAGTGCCACTGTTTGAGAAATCGCAAATTTTCGGTCCCGGGTCAAACCTTGTCAGGGGTTCTGGCTTGTTTGTGCCCATCCAGTTCACTGTGAGATATAAGTGATACGGGATCGGATCCAAACGTGCCAGGATTTCTTAAGAGGGGACACAAAAGCTGAATTCTGGGATTCGCACTTCCGGTTTGTACGTTAGGCTTTACAGTAAACGTCCGAACTCGAACATGCTTATACCGGCGTTCTATCGTCCAGGAGGGGCAGCCCAAAATTTGCAGAGAATACGAATCGTTTCCAATAAGCTAGGATGAGCTGCGAACCATTGATTTGAATACATGGTTCATGGCTGATTCTAGCAGCTTGGGGGGATTGGAATTCTACAAGGATGACGTCGCAAGGAAAAAATACCAAGTATGACTACGTGCGGATTGGGGGATTTGAGTTGTACGGTCCATACTGTTGGTGTGAATCTGAATTCCAACAGTAAGATGCGTACACTTGAAATCTCTTTTTCTCTCTTTATACAAATTTTATCGAAGGATAAATCCTAGCAGGTCGGGGAGGCATTAACTCTACATTTTCAATTTGCCTAATTAATTGATTTGCTCTCCTCCGAACTAAATACACTTTCATTTTTGCATAGCAGAAATATAATAAACAGCACATAATAATCATAGAAGTAATTGATAAACCTAGCAAATAAATATGCCCATAATCTCTGAAATGCATTTGCACTTCACTAATGTCATCTATTACTTTTCCCTTGTCTGATTCGGGCGTTATTTCGGTGACTGTTTTTAGTTCAAATCCTTCTATATCTAGATTAGTTACTAAGTCAGAAACAGGACCATTTATCATAGTATATCGACAAGAGTTATGAAACTTCACAATTCCACTATGAGGTAGTTCGTATGAATTTTGAGTGGGACCATTTCCTTGATCTGGACAGTATTGTGTAACTTGACTTTCCTTAGGATTTACGAATGCGAATTCATCTTCATCTAATCTTAAAAACTTGACTTCAGGAGTAGGGACATTTTCAAGTAGACATTTTTGATTTATTTCTTTTTCCTCTCTATTTTTAAGTAGGGCTTGTAAGCATTCATTTGCAGGTCTATTTGGCATAATATTAAATTTACATAATTGGCATCTTGAAAAGTCAATTGAATCAACACAATTAGGTAATTCATCATATTCCAATCCTAGAATTTGATCAGTATTCATAAGTAAGAAATCTTCTTTCAATTTTACTTGTTTCCATTTTGTGTTTCCCAGATAAGTCTCTTTGGAAATTGGTAAACTATGGACTTTGAATAAATTAAAAAATGATTTTTCAGTTAATATAGGAATTATAGTCATCAAATGATACATACATGACAACGGTAAAGTCGACGAAGAGTTAGTTGTGCATCCGAAAAACGCACCAACAGTTAAGGGGTTTGTATGAATAATATTGATTAATTCTGCAGCTGTTAATGCACTATTTTCAGTAGCCAGAAATTTAGTAAGAGCAGTTTTAATGTTGTTTGGTGTTATTAAACTGCTGGGGAATTTTAAATCATTTCGGAATTCCACATTGTTAATTATTGTTTTTAATATCGAATTGAGATTGTTTAATTGAGTATGTATAGACAAAGTAATTGTTTCGAATACATCACTCGAAATATTAACACGCATTTCTTGGCTTAATTTATTATAGTCTTCTACCAGTCCTTCTATGTTCTTAAAGTAGTCACTTGGTGTGGGAGCATTTAATATAACCCTATTAGAGGTGAAAATAGCTCCCGCAGCAGGTATACTTTTCATCCTGTCTTTTAAGTTCTTTTCAGAGAAAAAGGAAAAAGCGCGGGATGGAATCTTCTCGTAAATGAAAGCTTGATCATATAATATGGTATTTATCGACGTCAAGGTATTTAATGATGACTGTATACCATTGATTAGAATTTTATTTTGCCTGACATAATTAGGTCCAGATACCGACAATAGGTATTGGTTTATTTCTTCGACTAACTTATAGGCTTTACTTTGAATTTCTCCAATAGGATATGATTTTTCTATTGTCCATTTTGTTTTGGGAATGCATATTGGATACATTTCTGAGAAAGTTATTCCTTTATTCCCAGGGAAATTCCTTACAGGAGAGAAAATATTGGTTTGTTTGGTATTACTGATAAATCCTTTGTTTTCAGGGAGTTCTTCTATGATAATGGAATTAGAGTATTGCAAAATTGAAGTTAATGAGAAGAATATAATAATTTTGGTATTCATGTTTCACCAATACTTTGCACTTCTTTGGACAATTTTTCTTCTTCCGCGGACGAGTCCAAAGCAGGTACTGCTCTTCTTTTGTCCAGTACTTGCTGTCTTCTTTCCCGCTGTCTTCCTTCAATGGGGTTGATTGCTTCTCGTCCTTGGCGTGTTCTTGTGGGAAGAATGTTTTTTGTATCCAATCCTGACAAGGCACGGGGTCCGTAAGGTTGTCGATCTCGTACTGGAGTACTTCTTTGTCCTTTGGCAAAGGTCCCTTTGAAAGAGGGATCTTTGTCTACAAAATCATCTCCAATCACATCAGTAATGGTTTCAAAGAATTCTTTGGTTCCTCTATAAAAATTTCTTGCTCGTTCTAGAAATGTTTTAGAGGGGGCGGAAGGTACTTTAGGAGAAATAGGTTGTTGATAGGGAGTTTGGGGTACTTCTCGTGATTCTTGAACATTTTGCGTTGGTGCTACAGATTTTAAAGGAGATAATATAATACAAGGTATTAACTTTTTCTTTTCTACAATCTCTTCTTCTATGGCATTATTTTCATCGTCATCTAGGGAAGTTTCCTTGACAATCCCATTGGAGGGTTTAGAAACACATCTGTCTTGACGGTGGCTATTAGAAGGATTTGCTCTGATTGAAATATTATCATCAATTGTCACTCTTTGTAATGGGATAGTGGGGTTATGATAAGGTCGGAGGTAACTAATGTGAACAACATCAGACCACATCGACTTAGGATCTTTAATACGATATGATACCGGGTTTATAATTTGTGTAATTATATATGGACCTTTATACTTTTGAGACCATTTTCGCCCTAGATAGGTTAGAAAATCATGCGTTCTTAATAAAACCAAATCATCTAGATTAGGTATATGAAGGAGATTTAGTGTTTTTATTAAAACGTGAGAGATAAGCTTCCTGTCTTTTTTCTATAATGAACTTGGCTTTTTCTCTCAAGGAATTTAAGTTGGTTAATTTCTTTTGGACAAAATCTTTAATATCCACATAATCGTTGGTATCAGAAACATTCCATGGAACCCAATTTAGATTAGGTTTTTGTCCAGTAACTAATTCATAGGGTGACAATTGAATAGCTTTGTGTTTAGAGGTATTGTGAACCCAAGTGGCCAATTTGACTAAATGATCCCATTTACTACGGTTAGTGGGATCGGAATAAATGGCTAAATATTTGTGTAATTCTTTATGTGATCTTTCGTTTTGACCATTCGCTTGGGGATGATAGGCGGTAGTAGTACGAGCATTACTTCCTAAAGCTTTGGCTAATTCTTTGAAAATGGCCGATAAAAAGTTTGTTCCACAATCAGTGAGAATGATTTTAGGGGCTCCAAAAAGACATACCCAATTGTCCAAGAAGGATTTTGCCACTACCTCTGCAGTAGCATTTTTTAACGGGATAAACAAAATCCATCCAGATAATCTATCCTGAATTACTAAAATGTACC